ATCAAAGTCTTTAAGATACTTAAAAGATATGAACTCTGATTCGCAATTGGTGAGCCGCTGGCATGATATAGTTGCTAAGTTTGCCTTCAAATTACACACATTCCAGGAATAAATAACCCTCTTCCTGACATGCTCTCTCGACTTGTCCCGGACTTTTAGACAAATGTGTTCCCGTTTGACCTGTCTAAACATAATGCGTGAGCAAACTCGCCATGGTAACTAATATTCCAGTTGTTAAATTATGCTAATGTATAGCTTCATCTACCATACCGTTGTGTTGTCCCTTACGTAAATCCGATCGCTGGCAACGTGAACTTATTAGTATGATACAAAACAAACCTGTATAGGTTGACCGTGAAACCAAACAAGTGCTCGTATCCAGGATCTCATTTTGATAAAAAGACACCACAGAGACAAGCCATGACTTGTCGCATTGGTCTTACAGGTACTACTAAATGAAAACCCTCAACCGATTTCTTATCTAAACTAGAAGAATCTAAACAGTTTGATCTTAAACTCCAGACTCGCAGAATACCGTCGAGATTACGCCGATTGAAACTGCATTAGATCGTAAAAACGTGGAACTAGCTAAGGCCATGGAATTTAGACTCTAATCACTAAGTAATCCTAAAGCTCGCACTCAACTGCCTAATGCGCTGCTTAAAGAACAGCCAGGAGTTGCGAAACAACCAGTGTAATTTGTTATCTATTAATCGCAGGAAACTACTACTACTGACATTGAAGTTGCCCTAAGTATCGGGGAGATGGTTCATTCCCAGTGTTTCTCAAAATCTGACATTCTTAGAATAGCTTGAAAGTAAAGTCAGGCTCATTCATAATTTAAATTATCAAGCTTACGAGCATAGTTACAAAACGGATATTTGTGAAGGCTTGATCGTCTGGCGCTGAAAGCAACCACACGTGTGCGGTATATCGACGCTGCACAGATTATGAAAAGTATCAGGTCAAGCGCTTCGATTGGGCACCTCTAAAAAGTGTGCCAAAAGACGATCCAATGCGCCGAGTATAAATCAATTTGGTCAAACTTCCGCGATTCATGCATGCGGGCGATGTATATATCTGTCATTTCTTGTGTGTGGCTTCGGGTTACAATTTGTTTTGTGATAACGAACAAACGTCCGCAAACAATTGCAGAATTATGCTATCCCGTCTTTAATGACTTCGGCTTTCCTCGAGTACTATATTTTGATTATGGTAGTGAGTTCTCTACCGATGTAATGAAGGCACTCATAATTGTATCTGGTATGACCCAAAGGCATGTAGTCCATATAGACCTCAACCGCAGGGCGCGTACGAGACACGTCATACAGAACTCAGAAACTCTTGTAACCCGTACTAGAGAACGTTGAGGATATCCGATATATGGCATTACCATTTGAAATAGTTTCAAACTGAAATGAATAGATGCATCCTCAAACTGGAACACTTACGTTTCACAATTAATTTTTTTGGCCGCCATAGTAAATTGTAAATGCAACATTCGATACTAAAACAAAAGATCGAGCATATGCAAAACGTTTGTTACCCCTTTTACTCGAGCAAACAAAACTCTCGTCTTGCTTTTCAAAACTAGAGATTATGTTAACATCATCAACAGAAACATCAACGCTACATATCATCTCTCTAAGACAATCCTAGTATCTAGGGACCAGATTATAAAAAAAGCCAATCCAAAACCAAAGGATTATCAAATACTGAGTTCTGGGGTCTGGATCCAATATTCCTGATAATAGAGTCATCAGTAATATATGGGGATTACCGGCAGATGATAACGGGACCCCCGTGCGAGAATAAAACACCCAAGTATAACTTAAGTCTAGTTCAGGATCACAAATCACAAATAAAGACTCAATGTCCTTCAGCCTAGGGCTTTTACCTAGCTGGGAGATCCGCACTTGAGAAGTGGTCTATTGTTTCCATTGGTCGTGTCCTGAGCTACTCTCAAACTCTACATTTTTAACAATATTTTTACTGCGTGAAGTCAAACAATCTAAGCGGGCTAGAACATAGCACTGAGCTTTATTAATATATCAGAGAAAGATAGTAAGAACGAGGAAGGCAGAAGAATGTGGAGATCCCTGGAGCCCGGAAAGTTGAGAGAAAAGAAGAACTGGTGTGGTGTTAACTAACTTGCACACTGGAACTGGAAAAGAAAGAAGAAGCTCCCTCCTTGAGAACAGACACCAGGAGCCGACCAACAAGGTAGTGGAATGAACTAAGCGGAAATTTAACACGACGGGGTAACCCTCACAGGATGGCCCATGTAAATAAGCACCAAACGTGATTAAATTATAGTAGTTGGGAGAATTCAAATCCTAGTAGCAAAGTGAAGATCAGTGTCAGTGTTGATTTAATTGATTGATGTTAAGAGAATTCAATCCCCATGAGAGACATCAATGTATGGACAATATATAATCAACAGTACATGTAGAACATTTCATGTCTAAAATATATGAGGTACACAATAACACATACACAAACATGTGCTACTAAATTAGGTAGACACATGAACCTTGCCACAAATAAATTGTTGAGGTACAGGGCTGTTCTTCTAAACTCCATAGAAGAAAGCCATCAATAGTTATCCTTTTGGGGCAATTATACACGACGAGAATAAGGACATAAACGACAACACAATGTATAAACGAGCCTTCTATATATAATATTTTAGAGATAAGAATAATGAAGGAAGAGTCTTTTGGGTGCCTACACATGTCTCAGAAACATCCATGGAATCTGATTGATGGCTATACATGGATGATAATAATAAGTATATATGATGCAGAAGTTAGAAATAAGTAACACTGTAGAGGATGTCTAAACTGATACAGAATAGATACAGGACGTACATTTAAAATACTGAGTAACATCTACCAAGCACAGGCACAAAGCGTGAGATGCATATATTCTGGAATACAAAATAACACAATTATCTAGAAATATAAATATCCTGGCGCACAAGATACCAACATCAATTGGACATAGTTCACGTAATCAGATAAGCAGCCATCTAGAGATAGCTTGAACATTCAGAAAAGCCTTAGTATACATATATGCTTTTGATCGAATTAGATGCGAGTATGTGAATCAAGAAGGCAGGAACAGAAACATCTATAAGAGCCCAGAACATCTCAATTACAGGGATGACGTAGAAGTGCACAGAGCAACTCTATTGCAATGATATAATATACATAGTAATACTCACACACCTATAGATCAGAAACAAGATAAGGGAACATATGTTACAAAAATATACATGACAGGTAACAAAAATACACATATTGATACACAATATACAAGATACAGATTTCGTTTAAAAGCATGTATAAACCCTGCAATGAATAACACATTGCACATATCAACAACAGTGATTACACACACACTCACATCTAGAATTCATAGATGTAGATTTTTCATGAACGAATCAAATGACCAAACCACTAGGCACGAATAGATAGACATACACAAGCACCATATCAAGCAGTTAGGTATAGAATACTATCAGGAACAATATACCTACTTAGATGACACAATAAATGTATCGACACATCGCATTTCGATACATGACACACACAAAAAAATGCATCCAACAGTAACAAATAAACATATATACTCACATAGGCCTAAAATACATAGAGAGACACATTAATGTGGACACGTCACTTAAAAGGAATATATTAAATCTAAACACAATAAATACAGGATGAGGCACGCGTGAGAAAAAAAACCCAACCGACATCCCGCAATGCACGGACGAAACGGTAAATGTGTATATCAATCACATACATACCCATGCACAAACCTATAAGTTCACACATATGTGACATATAATAAATAGATATATTTTATTGATTGATCTATCGCAAATTACAATAGAGAACGCTAACTACCAATCTATAAGGACGACTATATACAGCGGCTATAAGAGAACGAGATACAAAACTCGGAGTCGAGATTCTTGGCAACAAGAAACTAGATTAGAGAGTGCACAAATAACCACATTACTGACCTTCTGAAAAACAAGAAGTTCGGAACAAGACGTATAGTAATATTCACAATACAATAAACCAAAACAAGAATTGTGTTCCTTGTGAATTATGATAACTTCCTTTATTTTTAGTAGCACAAATTTGTCTTGCTCGAATTGGTAATTAATTGGTCTAAGCATATTCTTACTTTCTTGAGGAGACTTGTTTGGGCATGTTCACCTGTGGATAAGAATGCTAAATACACCGGTGTTGGTGTTGTGCTTTTGTACATTGACCATCTGTAAGCCACCTGTTCACATTTGGATCCGTTTGTGGAATGTACTTACGTGGTACGAGGTTTTCTTTGGCATGCCTCATTTATCCGACATTGATTTCATTTGTAGGCACAGTGGCTTTGGTGCCTGACAGGTTGCAATGTACGTCAGGATGTATATCTGCATTGGTTTCTAAGATGTCTACAAGTGAATCTCTGAACCCTTCTTGTTCGTGCTTTGGATCTTCCTCGTGTGAAATGAGTAATTACTCCCATTTTGCGTATGTTGGAAAAAGGGATTTATAAATCCTGCTATGTATACACCTATGTATGGAAGAATGTTCATACCTTTCAAACAAGAAGTGTTGATGCCTTCTTAACTGGTAGATCCAACACTTTCGAAATAGTGAGAGGTTTTTCTTCCTCTGTAATTAATGTCGCATACTTCGGTCGATCCTGCACTTTGTATTCTCGCACCTGTTTGTGCTAATCGTATGTAGCCTGATTGCGCTCTGACTGATAGATATAGTTCAGCTACTATACTTTTGTCCATACATGAGCGTTGTGCGCCTGAGTCTTCGAGTGCCCGGTATGTATTGCCATTAATTTGTATGTCAATGGATAAAGGTTGGTAATTTATAATTTGTATCATTCGCATTTATTAAAGTTTCTTCATTTGTATTTACATTTGATCTGTCAGCCAGAGCAATCACGTTTGCTTCCACCTACGAGTTGTTTTAGTGCTCGGCACCTTCTGTGATTTCTTCCACCTTGCCAGATGTAATGGACAGTCTTGCTATCTGCACATCCTTCTTGGCCCGCTCCTCAGCCTGCTTGGCTTCATTCACTTTTTTGTTGTTGTTGGGACATTTACTGTACCGATGTGGGGCTGGCATTACCAGGCAATAAGGACATGGACGCTCTTCGCGTGCCTCCTTCTTCTCCTGTGCCTGTCCCACTGGCTTATTTTGGTTGGGTGCACCATTGTCTGGTTTATACCGTTTGTTAGCATTGGTAGTGCTATTTTCTGCTTGGACGGCTGTTTGTGCGTTATGCTTGTTTTGCGCTCACAACTGATCCTTCAACATACGCTCTCCTTGCAACACTGCCGCCATTCTTATGTGTGACTCAGTCATTGTATGAAACTTGGTGTGTTCCATAACTGACAAGTACCCTTCACTCCCAAAAGGTCGCTTATCTCCTTTGATTAGAATATCCACCAGTGTTTGCTGTCCGTAGTACTTAAGTGCTTGGTACCTTTGTACCTTGAGGAGTTGAAAGTGTATGCGTGTCTTGTCTGAGTTGCGGTAACGCTTCTCTAACATCGCCTTTGCCTTACGCGCACGCTCTATGCGCACTTCGACGTTCAGTTTCTTATTTTGCATGTCATTGAGAAACTTCTTCAACAGACAGTCTACTGGATATGGCATAAGTCTGTCAATAATGATCCTATTGAATTGCACAGGTTCCTTGAAGTGCTTAGTTTCATGCGTCTCAGAATCTCTTAAGTTTTTGAGTACTGATTTGGTCTTCTCCGTTGCATCAGTGGAATCTATTAGGTTTCTCACTAGTGCTGGGTACTGACACAGTGGCATGGACTTTGCTAAGAATAGGTTGCTACATTGTATAGTAAACTTTATGATATCTTCACAGTTTTCCATTCTAAAGTAACTATCTTTTGGCATCTTAGGAAATTCTGAAGTCTTTAGTAGTTTTGCAAGAGGTGGTTTATTTATCTGGTCGCCTAACTGTGAACGGATGAGCTCTAACTCGCTAATGTACTGACTTATTTGAATGAGATCATCTTCCTTATCGTCACCACAGTCGTTGATTGCCAGATCATATCGTCGTCTGAGTTCTGCATCCACTAGTGGTATGCGTCGCTCTGGCTGTTGGTCATGTATGCCTACCCTCATCTTGTGTAGAGTTGGTATAGGCACCGGCACTGTTTGTTCCAACTTGGACACAAACCGACTCACCAGAACATAATTGCCTTGACAGATACTCTTGTCTATTTCTAGACGCATTGATGATACTATGGGTACCCCAGCCGGTGTAGGCTGGCCAGAACCACTGCCTGGGCTTGCCCCCCCCCCCCCCCCACCTGGGTTGGCTCCCACGTCATCCGCGCCTTCACCTCCTTCCCCACCACCATACACGCCTGCTCTGGTTGATGTTAGCATTTTTAGATGTCTGCGTTGGTGTGTGGGTGTTATGGGTTATCAATAAAGACTCTTGTTATATTTTGTGCGAAAGCGCGCGCTTCACCCCCCTTTTCTTTAGTAATAATTCATATAAAGTAAGTAAATTGGGATATATTTTACTTACTAATGCAGTGTTGTTGCTTTGCTTCACTTCCGCGGGAAGTGTTTACCGTTCTGTCTAGTACGGTAGCTTGTTGCTTTATTCCCTGTATTTAAGAGGGGTGAAAACCGTGTTTGTTAGTCAAACTTATTTCGTCACGTGTTGACTTACTTGTGCTTATTCCGTCATATGAGAAATTAATTTCTCATGTGATCTCAATGAGATGTTCGGTCCTAGTGACGTCACCTGGAGAAGTTCGGCCCTAGTGACGTCACTCTGGGATGTTCGGTCCTGTACCGAACTGTGTCGATGTTGACGTCACCAGTTGATGTTCGGGTCTGTGCCGAGATATGTTTATGTGTGTTTGCACTTGATGTTCGGTCCTTTGCACTATGATAGTGTGTCAGTGACCATTAATTTTGTTTATATTTGTACCACCGTATTTGTACCAAACTTTGGATTGGTTGCGTACGCGTTGTGTGTTAGTGTCTTCATGTTTTTAACCCTCTACTGTGTTCGCACTGTTTGTTTGAGCGAGCTCCTGTGTGTGCTGCGGATGTTCTGTATCCTTAGTGCTATGTCTCGCTGTTCCAATTAGTATGTGCTTAGTATCTCTTGATAGCTTATCATGTACTTCTTATTGAATCAGTGATGATACTGATCGCATATGTTGTCTCATTTTGTTAATGTTCGACTATTCTTGCCGGAGTGGCTAGCCTTAAAAGGGTTTTAAAACCCTAAAGTGAATGCTGATCGCTTTTTATGTCGAATTCTTGAGCTTATCGACTATTTTTGCCGGAGTGGCTAGTCTTAGCGTTTATAATAACTTAATCTTGTTGATAGTCATCTCATTGAATCTTACTTGTGAATTTAAGGTCTTATTCTTGTGTGTCCACTTGTAATGGCTGTGCTTTATGTAATATTTGGCTATTCATTGCTTTATTTTAGCATTAACAACCAGTTGTGGTTCGTATATGCTTTGAGTTTCTATGCCTTAATTTTCAGATTACTTGTGATTTCTTGTTGATCAATCGTGGTCTCGTGTTGGTCACGTAGTTTGTGTTTATGCGTGAGTACTCGTGTATGTTCTTTAGTCTTTCTAGATATCTGTGGCTTGTGACCTTGATATAACTCCAGAGTTCATGGGCTGCCTTCTTGTTGCTATTGATTTCACATTGACTTGTTATCTCGTGTGCTTCTTGAAGCAATTCGTGTTTTTAAAGCAATTCGTGTCTTTATGTGTCTAGGGTTACGTGTTTATTATTACTTCTCAGTGTAGTTGTTTGAGTCGTGTATAATTGTTCTAATGCTTGTGTAATTATGTCGTTGTACATGCACTTCTATGGTGGTCTGTGTGCGATCAATCTCTGAGCTATTTCAGCTTTGAAATGGTTGATCTCTATGCAATTTCCACTCTGGAATGTTTATTGTATACTTCTTGTTAGTGTGTGTGTTTCTTTGTTGCCGTATACTGTTGTTTTGCAGTTGTTTTGGGTACTGTTCGTCCCTTGCCAGTAAATGCTGATGTGTTGTACTGCTATTGCACTTCACGTGTTCATGTATTATTGCATGCGTGATCTGATCGATCTCCGCTAATTTCCTTCGTGTTGTGACTGTTTTATATTACGTGTGTTGTTTTTATCTCACAAATATTGTATAGGCTTCTTGTTCTTGCTTCTTACTTGCCCTTCTGCCTTATTAGCAATAGGTACCACTTGATCCTCTATGATTCTATGTGAACCTAATCTTGCGATTCTATCATCATACTTGGCCACCCTCCTAGATTTTCACTGCTCTTGTTGTTAAGCCTACGAGTGACTCTCTTACTGTGTGTCAAGTTGCGCTATATTCAAGTGCCAATGCAGTTTCTCTATTCTGAGATGTCTCTATTGTTTCTAGGTGATTGCTTATGTTGCGGCAGGTGATATGTTGTAGTTCGGGGCCCTCTCTCTAAATCCTAGCATTGAGTGACACTTTTATATATAGATTTTTGATGTCCCCAACATTGCTAATAAATCACTCGTGACTGGTTGGTGTTATTTTCATTCACTCGTAGAACACTCTTTCCCTCTTGACTCACTTCCAGTTGGGTTATTTACATAAGTTCTTCTCTGTCTGTTTCTTGTTATCCGGTTTGAATTCTGCTCACCGGTTCTTCTGTGTTTGAGGTCTCGGCTGAGTTCTCTTAATCGCTTGTAATTCTTTCTTCTCCTCTTCGCCTTTCGTTGGTGTTTGAATCCTAGTTTATATAAATAAAGATTTCTATCTCTTTATCTTGTTGATTCAAATGTTCCATTCCTAATTCCAAACTCAGTATTTGATTACTCTGGGTTTTGGCCAGCAGTCCGGGATCCGCTGTTGTATGTTTACAACCAGGATGCGGTGTTGCTAGCAGCTCGGCTCCAAGAGCTTCATGACTTTATGCGAACGTTTATAATAACAGCGTATACTGGTTTGTTGGGAGAGTTATTGTTGGATGATCTGGATAAAAATGGGTTATCGTCGGCAGCAGCAACATCAACAACGATGTTAACTGCTGTTATATACAACCGGGAGGGGGGGTTCGGGGAGGAAGGAACTTCGAAGTACAGGGAGCAAACTCATTTAAAGGAGAAAACTCCGCTTACACAAGGGGGAACCCTCACCAACCTGTGATGGGTTCGGCTGGATATCAGTACAGTCATAATGACCGTTATACTACACCCCCACGTGGTGACTCACGTGGGTTTGACGGATCCAAAGAACGTTCTTACACCCCTAATAGGGCATATAGGCCGGTGGATGAGAAGACACCGTCCCCGGCACCGCCAGCGTGTGGTAAGTGCTCGTTGAGGCATCGGAGTGCATCTTGTCCGGTATGTGGCCTTTGTAACAAACTGGGCATTGGCGAACAGACTGCCCATCGAAGGTAACTACGGTTGCGGTGGCGCAGACTAAGTCTAAATGACTAGTCAGTAACGGTTGGAGTGGTCCAGTGACCCATGTATTCTGCGAGGATTAAGCGCTAAGTATTTATAATGATACTGGGGCTAGACCAGCCATGTTGTCCACAGAGTTTGCGATGCACCATCGGTTTGAAGTGACGGATATTGACCCTATCTTTATTACGGGATATGGGGGTGATGGTCGTATGTCTTTGACTCAACAAGTAGAATTACCCTGCTGTTGGAAGTTTAGGATTCACACGGGGAGGCTACATATCATGAAGCAGAGGAAATTACGTTTCTTCTGGCGCCATGGATACCTCATGATTGTACTATTTTGGTTGGTCTGGATGTCATGGAACACGAGAGGTTGGGAGCGACTTGGGGTACATCTACGGACCCAGCTACATTTCGGTTGCAGCTTTCACGGGTTTCCAATGATAATTTCCTACAGTACCGACCTCCTGAGGTGATTTATAAGCTTGAATCTTTGAAGCGTAATAAGCATGTACCGGATATACATGATGAGTTAGATGAATATGACTTTACTGACTTAAAATATCATGCTCGTATATGTAATTTTACTGTGGCACAATTACCAGATCTTAAGGATAAGTATAATCGTAATCGCATTAATAAGAAAGCTCCTAAGTTTATTATGGAAGTCGAATGTGAGATTATGTTAAAGCCAGATGCCATGCCCCAGCGGCGGGTATATGAGACAAAGGATCCGGTCAAGGTGGGTGTGGAGACGCGTAAATGTGATGACCTTCAAAGTGTGGGACTCGTCGAGCCGGGCAACAAGTATAGCAAGTGTTGCTTCTTGCATCTTCGGGTGGTTCCACAGGATGACAAAGGATATCGATTGTGTATCGACTGGAGTCCTCAGAACTTGGAGTTCCATGTGCTGCCTGTGACACTCCCATTGGAAGCGGACTTACTTAACCATGCACGTAGAGCGGTGATACAAACGGTTGTGGATTTAGGTACGGCTTACCATCAAATACGTTTGTCTGAGGATTCTCGGGGAGTTATTGACTTTCTACTCAGCGGACGGGCGATACTGGCAACTGTTATGTTTGATGGAAGGTGTTCTGGGTGTTATGATAAGCAACACTCACCCAGTCGTTGTTTCAATCAGAACGGACGTTGATGCTTTACATTGATGATATGATTATTGCACAGCATCGGCTAGCACATAAATCGTATATAGATACATTGCGTAATCATTGGCGGGAACAGCATCGGAGACCAAACATTTGTGAGGCAAATGATGTACAGTTGCAGCCCCATAAGAGTCAAATATCGGTTGGCCGGGATATTTTGGATCATGGGAGTATGATAGATATTGAACGATTGCAGGCGCTTCTTACGGCACCAGCGCCAGTGAGTAAACCAAAGGTGGCATCGTTGTTGGCAATGCTTGCGTGGTGGTTAGGTATGATACCCAATTACTCCATAATCATGGAACCAGTGATTCGTTTAACCAGGAAGAATGAGGTGTTCAAATGGGATACGGCTTTATGTGCCTACTCAAGATCAAGAATTTGTTGAATATAACCTTGGAGTAACTACAGAAACCAGATGTCATCAATGGAGTCGAGAATACGAGGCTGCAATTGTCCACGGGGGCTACAGTTCTAGAAGTTTCGGATTTGGAAACGGGCACTCCAGCAATCCGGTACCAGACGATGGATTCTGGCGATTTCTCGCGAATTGAGGAAGTGGTTGAAATCCGACGACGAGCTGAGTCACTGGGGTACGTGGTCATCAAAGAGTTAGTGCTGGATAAGGGTATTACAGTACATGACCATGATTGCTTGTTCCCAGTGATGTTGATGTCTAGTACATTTAGTGCGGCTCAGAAAAATTATAGCACCACAGGCCGTGAATTTATGGGGTGTGTATATGCCACGAAAAAGGTATTGCATATATTACAGCGTTCGAAGGTGCCGTGTGTATTGTATACAAATTACATGTATTGTGCGTAACCCTTCTCGATATACACAGGAGGATACTATACAGACTCGGCGATGGCTCAGAGCATGCAATGTGCTGCAGGAAGTTGAGTATGATTTCATATATGTACCAGGGAAGGTCAACTATTTCTGAGATTATATGTCCCATTGTGCCGACAAGATGGATGAGTTGATGACCCCACTTGATCGACGAGCTCAGTGGAAGGACCCGGTAGAACAGGCAAGCGATACTGTATTTTGTGGAGCTGTGTTACAATTTGATCTTTCGGATTGGCAACTGAACACGCGCTTGGTATACCACTCGCAAGCTATCTTTTGGGTTGTGTTACAGGTGGAAATGTTTGCGTCGGAAGCTAACCATGTGCTTGCTAACTATCCTAGCATTGAACCTGGTGGCGGTGCGATGAGATGTGATACGCTTGCATTTGAAGGGCATTGTTAGTTATACCAATCCGTCATGGAAGTTGACTGCTAAATTTGTTAATCATGTAGCAATGACTGATGGTGCACAGGGTGCCTTTGTGTCCTCTTTTGGCCGAATGAGCCTTGGATGAGGGATTTGGTTCCGATGTTGCAGGCTTGGCCGTCTGTGATTCCTCATGCAGAGGATGCCTTTTTGTTAAATGGCCAGTATGCAGTTGAGGTTCCCCCGTGGGATTATACGTTGTTGGTATATATTAAAGGGGGCCATCAGGATTGTCGCTTTGTTTACAATTCCTCCTATTTATTTTTTTTGGCCGGAGGTAGGACGTGCTGGCCCACCTGCTAACATGTGCATGGTTGATTATCGGCCAGTGGTTTTGTGTTTTGCGCCTATATCCGTGTCAGTAAGTCGTCAGTTGGATGAGGAAGCGGCAGCACATAATACACTCATGCAGGAGACGACCGAACGTTTGGAGGCCCATGAACATGTAACTGATAAAAAAGTGGCGACTAGCCGTAGATGGAAATGACCATCGGCTAAACGTAGCCCTAGCCCGGTGGATCGTACGTGGCGATAGATATCGCAGAAGCGCAACCCCAGCCCTTCTGTGAGTAAGGAGGATGCTCGGGACCTGCCCCTTTCGGAGGTACTGGGCATGTTGGTTCCTCTGGAGTTCCTTCCGTCGGGAGTTGAGGGTATGGTATATAACGAGGAAGATAAGGTGTTGTCTGTTCATAGTGATGTGTGTTGTTTGATATACCAGTTCCTTGTGATTGTCCTCATGACGCGGTTGTTGTTAGCGGGAGGATCCCTTGTTTGAATGGAGATGTTAGTGATGTGGTGGACGACGATTCTGCACCCAATGCATCACCTAAAGACCTTAATTTAGATGATATGCTCGTAGAGTCTCGGTTGTCAACCGGCATGATTAACGACAACATAGATGATGATGATGTGTGTGGACAAAGCTACAAACACGGACGCGTTGTTTATTACGTGGTTGTGAAGACTTAAATCCCAGCCACAGTGAATTTCAGGAAGTTCTGTAGTAAAAGTCCCCTTAAAACACTATCAGTGTGGAGTTAAAAATTAGTTTACAATTAATTCACACGAGGTGAATTATTTGTAGACCACGTAGACAATCAAATATAAGAATAAATACACCGCACTGAGCCTCAGGGAGACTCAGTAGATTTTAGTATCGTATTTTGATGTGTTTACTACAGCTCCCTTAGGCACAGGGGATTTGGTATACAGGGCTGGCTTAGAGGTGGAGGCTCAAGTGGATTCAGCAGATGTCTTTCAGAATAATCAGCAGTATTTGCCGGTGGAGCCTTAATCTGTTCGGTACTCCATTAGCCACTGCCCGTCGACGGACAACCCGTTGTCATCCAGGAAGCCACGTATGCGACGATCGGAGGAGATACCGGATGAACATATACCAGTATGTCAGGATGGGGAGGACATTTATTGCAGACTCCCGTTTACAACTTTGATCGGTAGGTAGATTAGTATCCCCGCAGATACTTTTTCAGGTGATCTGGAAATACCACATGGGGTTTAGTCATGTGTTGGTAGCGGACCATTTGAGAGTTCTTATACGGAAAAAGTACAGTTGGCATGTTCTTCGTACTTTGTTGGATTTGATTATTGGTAATTGTGAGTGGTACATTCGTTTTAGTATGGGTTATGGTCGAAAGCGTGGTCTTCTCCGACAACCGGATCGTGCAACACGCCTTGGGAAGCTGATGGACCTTGATGATTTGGTACCCACGGGGAATGCTGATGGGTATAAGTATGTGTTGGCTGCCCAGGATGGTTATTCCCTGCGGGCATTTACCACGTGTTTAAAAAGTGGTGATCATGTAGCTGACACGTTGATCAAGATTTGTGACGAGCAGCTGCGACCACATGTGGCGGTCAATGACTATGTGATGAATAAAGATAATGTTTTTTTATTGTGAGAAGTTCTCTGCGTATGCCAAACAGACGGGAGCCACCATTCATTATGTGTCTACTAATGAGCATGCAGGTAATGGATGTGTGGAAGTGTTTCTAAGCACGGCTAAATATTGGTTACCTCGATCATTGTGTGTTGATATGCATCACGCATGGCGACATGAGGCCCCCTATTTCACTACAAATTATAATGCTACTTATTCGTCGGTTATTCAGATGGAACTGCATACCCTTGATGCTGGCCGATTTTATACCGTTTATATACTCATATTGTGGATCATCAAATTGAATTTATGCTTGATGAATACCTTGTTTTTGATACCTCTACAGTTTGCATGGGTGACCCCTTTGGAACGCACGGCGTCGGAGAACATTCAGATGGCGCGAGCGGCTCAGAAATGACATGCTGATCTCATTCGGGTGGATTGCTCAATGATTGGGGTAGGCCGACAGGTTTTGTATCGGCTGATAAAAACCCCTGACCATAAACTGTCCAAGAATTGGGTGGTACCTGCTATTGTGATAGCGCTATTACCCCTGGTGATTCAATATATCAAGGATGTGGGGTTGAACAAGGAGTATAGGGTTTACATCAAGAACCTCAAATCATATCGACCTCCGGTCGGTTTGGTTGAGAAGTTGCCTCAGGGAAATGTGTCGACGTCGGTGTTTGGTTATTACATGTTCTTTGATTCGAATACGCAGTCTATGGAACGGTAGATGTTGGTTGAAGCATTCTGGGAATACCCGGTAGCTATTCGTTTTTAGGATAGCATGAATAGTAACTATCGTTGATGGGTGCGTCTTAACACAGGCAAATATAAGCATAAGTGTACACATCAATGGTGGAAAGAGGATGAAGATTTTCTCCCACAGCGCCCTGCGGAAGTTACAAATATTCAAGGAATGCGCACTGCACTTAATCGACTTTATCGTTATGTTAGAGACCCTTTATTAAGACAGGATTCGTTCGAAGCATGGCGTTCAAAGTATGAGGCCGAACGGTTGACTCAGCACTCGGTGGATGCAGAACATTGGGATTTGTATGCTATTATGGACAGGGAGGATTGAGCTCAATTCCATAGGTTTTAGTCCTGCGTTTCGATATCGCATAATCTGGCGGGGCTGTAGTATGGAATAGGCTGATGACCCCTGCCCTCCCTCTGTTAGGACAGAACCGATGGACAGGACAGTAGGACCGAATAGTGATGACTACGGAGACCCTTGAGGAATAGTAATATAGATTTAGGGTTTTTAGGGTTTAGGGTTTTTAGAAGACTAGGACATTACTGGATTTGTCAGATAGACTACTAGTAGTGGCCAACTGACCATGCGGACTATGGATGAGACCTTCTCTGGCCCTAAGGATAGGAATAAGGACTGGATGGTGGAACTTAGAGTCTGTCTCTTCTACTCACTACTCACTCACTGCCTTTGAGGACCTGAGTCCTGACTCTCCTGAGACCGTCGTTATTTTAGCAACAGGTAATATATGGGTAGTATTTATTATCCTCTCTAGCTCACTATCCTATACATACTACAGCAACTTCATTTTTTTTTAAATAAGTATATAGTGGGCGCTATGAAATTCAAAATAGCAAAACAGGGAGTGAGAGGAGCCGGGAGGGCCAGGGGGGGAAGGGGAGTAAATATTTAGGGACAGTTCTTGTTACTTTTTGATTGTTTTTGTTTAAAAAAAACAACAATTTGACTTAAAAAGCGGCAGATCGGCAATTCGGCAGTCGAGATTCGAGAACTCTCGGGATATTTATAATACTTCCTGCCCCCCCCCCCCCCCCCCACACTAGTCGGCCAGCCACCAAAAGGCCCCAGCCCGCAGGGCCAAGGGCCCAGGGCCCAGGGCCTAGGCCGCCTGAGTTTACTTCAGAATTTTCTTCTTCGCTACATCGTCGGCGGTATTAACGCCGGGCGGTTGTCGCGCTTGCCGCCAAGCGTCCGCCCAGCGTCCGCCCACCAGTCAGCAGTCGCCCACGCACCGCAGTCCGCAGGGCGCATAGCCGCATAGCCGCAGGCCCACGCCCACGGCCCTATAACAGGGACCCACAGTCCCACACTGCACAGTCCCGTGTGTATTTACTCCGAATGGTTTTAACGCTGTCATAAATTTTTAAATAAGTTCAATTAGGATTTAGGAGCCTATAATACAGTCAACAAAATTTAAAAAACAAACAAACAAAATGTATTGGGCTTTAAAAAAAATAGAAAGTATTGGTTATTTTTATAGCCCTCTGAAATAATACATCATTTTGACGCTCGCGGCTCGAATATGCATTTTTTTAAATGCAATACTCAATAGAGCTATATATGTACAGTATAAAAAGGTTAGAGGAAACGCTTTAAAAAAAAAAAATTTATTTACTCAATTAAAAGTTGCTTTTTATTTAGAAATTATAAAAAACAAAACAATACAGGAATCGGCTGAGGGGCCCTGACGCCCCAGAGCCCCGAGGGCTTGAGTCTTAAGGTTAGCCGTTATTTATAAAATAGCGGACCCCGCCAACAGGACAGGGCACAGTCTCTCGCAGGGCACTGTGAGACTGTGAGTCTGTGACTGTGTCAGGGACTCAGGGCACTGAAGCCTGAAGGCACTGAGGGCAGTGCTGAGGGAGGCCGGGCACATCTCAACTTTAAAATACATATGCCCCCAGGGGCACCAGTAGCCCACAGACCCACAGCGGTACAGGCTCAAACATTCACAATCACATCATGTGACTCATCATCTCCTGCTCTACATGTCCAGAGCTTATATCACCAAATCAAATCATATACACAGTTATGTAGTATTTGTTTTAAAAAAAAATCTGAAATTTTTTATATCTTGAATAATATTTAGTATTTTAATTTTTTTATACAAAATACACACAGCAAACAGAGTCAAAACTGAAAACTGAGTCACAGACTGTCCCGAAGTCAGCACTCAGCAATCAGCATTCAGCAAACTCAGCATAGTCCACCGCTACTGCGTGAGAGGACGATTCCGGGACACAGTCTGACAATTCACACTTCGGCGACAAATAAAAATCAACACTAGGTACATA